TCAAAGTATACATTATTATGAAGCTAACATTAGGGGTAAACGTTGCTTTAACAATGTCAGTCAGCTCCAAGGATGTAGGCGTTTACATATAACTTCAATAACATCTAGATGTGTTGCAATTATCCAGCCGTACAAAGCTAACGACGCTTGTTCAAGCTAATGTTACTTGCAAGTTGGCTAAGTAATGTTGACAATATCGTCTTTGTTTTGAGGTTAACATTTAAGAAATGTATACGGTTTCTATTGTGAAAACAGGACATTTTAACGCTAAATAACTGAATTATAATTACGCTAAAGCTTAAGGTACGGTCATAAACACACTTTGTCTGAGCCGCTTTACCGATGTTAGCTTTTACGTTAGTTAGCCATGTCATGATAGGCCGTCTAGTGTAGCTAATGGTTAGCAGCTAGCCTCTAAATGATACACCAAGATCACAAACTCCCAAAGTGGTGCAAAAGTGTTTCTATTATTAATGAGCGTGGAATACAAGGGTGACTTTCAGAGGTTGATTCTCCAACCGGGGCAGGGTCCTCACCTCTTTGGGTACGAACTGGTTCTCCTCGCTAGGCACCATTTCCATTTGTACGACAGTTTAGACAAGCATCTATCCGGACAAGGATGTCAGCGAAAAAACTTTGCAGCGGTAAACACAAACATGGTTTGTGTCCGGTCTGTTGTAAGTTAGGATGCTTGGACAACAAAATTAAACTTGCCCAAACTTGTAGGCTTATCAAAGTGATCGCAACACTCTCGGTTACACCAACCAAGCACGAAGTGTCCTGCTATACATGGAGAAAAATGGCCGGTGTTTCACTCCGCGAGACTTCACTCAGGAGCGAGCTTCAGCGTCACATTCCAGCCAGACAAGCGTGTGTGATGTGTGCGCAGGATGACGTCGGGGTGTGTGTGTGTGTGTGTGTGTGTGTGTGTGTGTGTGTGTGTGTGTGTGTGTGTGTGTGTGTGTGTGTTTTTAATTGTTTCTAAAAGGGTACAAATGCCAGAAACACGCATAAACACTTGGTTAATGGGTAAGCTTGTATGAGAGAGTGATGCAGGGCAGCTGTGGGTTGGTTAGGGAATGCTTTCAATTTAACAATCGAGGCTGCTTCAATAGATTACAGCCATTAGGCCTACAATATATTAAATTGAGTGAAGTGCACAATATGGTTTCATGATCAGAATCTCACTTGGATGAGCACCTAAAACTATTCCATTCATAACGTATTACATAGGCCTATCATTTCTTTTTTTTAATGAATTTGTGAATGATGACACTGTCACATTTCTCATCTGCACCATAATAGTGTTGCATGTAAATAACCTGCAGATGGCATGAAATAAAACTGACACTCAATGCAACAAATGCTACTAAATGCATGGCGCAAAACATAAATAGGTGACATTTAGGGGTATAAAGTGAGACGCACATTAACACATTATATATTTTTGCATACATTGCAATGGATTTTCGGGCAGTGAGGCAGCTAAATCTATTTTTCACATTCAAACCGTGCAGCAAAAAAGGTCAAGGTTTGATAACAGTCCCCTTTCTGTATGCTTGCATGTTCTTTCAATGTTTGTTCAAGTTTATTTTTGGTGCTTCCTACCACATTCCAAAAACTAGTTAGATGAATTGACTTTAACGTTCGTATATAAAAACACACTCATAGTGATACAGTAATCAATAGTAATTTCAAAAGTGCATTAAAAGAGTCTCAACCTTCAGTTTTATCAGAGCTTCATTATGCAGCTCAGACCTCATGTTGTAGTTACATTAATAACCATACAGGGGACTTTAATGTCAACCACTGCCTTTGAATTACATAAGCACTATCGGTTAGATTTGTTAGTTATTCTTTTTTCATTTCTTTATTTTTCTTATGTAGCCCACTCTTCAATTCTTCCAGCCTGTGTTTTATAAACCTTCATAACTTCTGTGTATGAAAGAGGTTTTATGCAGTTTTATTTCCCTTCCTCTGCCCTTTTAAACGGTCATGTAAAGCACCTTGACTTCCCTCAGTGGATGGTATATGTTTATTAAAGGACTTTGCCTTGCCACATGCTGCCCCGTTAGTTATTAAATCTGATAGCAGATTACAACAAGTATCCCTTACACATTATACATCTCAACTTTATCTCTGATTATTAGGCTCAACATTTAGTTTTAAAAGTGTTTTGGGCTGTTTTAATTTCACAGTAAGGCTCTCGAGAACAACAACAACCCAACATCAACAGTAGAAATGTTATCTGAAGAACTCACTGGTGTGTTTATATAATAATGTTAGGTGCACTGATGCTAAATAATTTAGACTTAATAAAGAAACGTTACCAGTCATTTGAAAACAAAACCAACAAAGTTTATGTTCTTGTTTATTTCTATACAACCCTATCCCGAACGTCTTACATCTCATGCTGTTCAGTTTTCACCCGAGGATTTAACGTTTAACCTGATTATCTAATGAATAAAGTTACTGTAGGTTAACTTTCATAAAACAAGTTATGTTTCAATTATGAATAAGCACAGACTTGACAACACATCCTTATTTAGTGACCCGAATAAAGGATCATCAAGTTGTCAACAACCACTCTGTTTCATTTAGGGAATGACATATTCACAGATGTAATTTTTGAGGCTGCGACACACCTCATCAGACCACTTTCCTTGTGCAGCCACTGAAAGAGCAACACAGCTCTCCCTCTTCGTTCCTGTGGGCTGCTTCTTGGAACGGTCCCAGTTCAAGTAGCTGACTGGTAGACTGTTGACATCAACATACTGGCCTTCTTTCACTATGTCTGCCACACCGATCCAGAAGTCCTTGGATCCAGGGGCGCTCCTCTTTGCATAATCTCTAAGTTCATTGTTTTCCATCAAGCCCCGTGGCGTTGCAAGCGTTCCTCCTTGTGCAATGCAGTCTTCATTTGCATCATGGTAATGTTTGGGTTCCTCAACCGTGAGATAACACTTCTTGTAAGCTTTAATCCCCCGGAGACAGACTGAAAACACAGTATCGCTTCATGAGTGAATTGTATTGTAAATAATGTACATATATGTGTTGTTTCTTTTGTAACCCCCTGTTTTCCTCCAGAAAATAAATAGAAATATATAAATTAAACAGCGATGTGTGAGTTTATACAATTTAGCTTTGTTTGCTTTTTCTAGCATCAACTTGCCCACTTCAGCACTGATCTAATGAGGGCTGCTGTCCTCTGCTGGACACTCAGCACACTAAGAAGTTCAAAATCTATTTGTTTAGAAACCAAATATATCTTTGCAAAGTCCACACTCTTGCATTTCAGCGCATTAGTCTGAATTCACAAGTAAAAGTGAAGAAAAGCACCAAAACATACCTAAAACACAAATCAAATAATTAGCCAACCATCGCATGCTTTACTTCTCGTTCAATAAACATACTAAATAGTGCAGTGATGCTTTTGCATTTGATCTATTACTGTAACCCCCTCTGTCTTTAATCTTCCTTCCATTAGGGCAATACCTGTCTGCAACGCCTGTATTTCCTTCAGTAAATTCACCTCCTGCCACAACCTCTCCAGCTGGGACTTAACATCATCTTCTTCTGCAGCTGTATCTCGACAAAGAGGCAAGAAAAAAAAGGTCAGATGAACATCAATATCAAGCACATTGTTAATGAACTATGTGAGTAATTATACCTCCGGACTGACGGCGTGATACAGCTTTCCTAGTGCGAGATGGGCGACTGGAGCTGAAATGAATCAAAGAAAGGCAAAGAACGAGAAGAACAGGGATGGCCAGACGTGCCATATCTGAGACCTGTGGATCCTACAGTGACAGGATACAGTTGCACACCTTGTACTTCTCCGCAAGGAACCAAAAACACTGCAGGCAGCTCGATATATACTGGCCCTTCTGTATGCCTTGCTGGGTATGCTCCCTGCATTGGCTCTAACTCTGTTTTAGTCCAAACATCAGGAGGAGGTGAGAGGGGTATAAGGGTGGAGTGGCAAATAATGATTTACTTGTGTCTAGCATTTGATAAATATTTACTTGGAACAAGGTGCACCAAGCAGTATTCCCTTTCAGTTCAGAAACAAACTGGGAATGCATTGACTACTTCACCATTACAGTGAGTGTTAAAGACATGCTAAGACACTTTTTTCTACAAAAAATATTCCACCTCATTATCACCTGTATATATATACATATAAGTGGTCTTCATCTACCGCAAAAAGTATAATTTACAACTTCCAGTATATGAAAACAAATAACCAGGTCAATTTTGCAGCTAAATATGGACTATAAATATTTGTTCAATCACACAGGCTTGCAGTTATGTAATGATTCAAAATAAAGCTTCTATTAAACCAGAGGAAGTCCAGCTGGGGTGCAGGCAAAGCTATTTTTAGAGTGAGATGTTGTATACAAATGGGAGGGGGAGCTAAATAAGAAAAACCCTTGGGCATACAAGCTCAGTATAGCAGTACAACTATCAAATCTAATCTTCAAATGTTGCACTCTCCAAATTATACATTTAAAATGAGGCCTCCTCCAAGTGACAAATGTATCAACAGTATTCTTAGTATAATAGAAATGCAGTTATAAGACCCTAACTTAGAGAAGAGGCACAGTTCTTGCTTAGTTTGCACACAGTGTTCAGAATATTTGCCGTACAGTACATGCATTGACTCTGGCTATATACCTGGAAACATAATTGAAAAGGTCAACAGTGCAGTACTGTTGGAACAAATAATGTATTAGATGGCAGCTTTTCTCTTTTGGGGCACATGTTTAAAAAAAGGCCTGACTTTGTTGCCAAACTGAGGGACTGTGCAGAATATGCAGTATAATGGGATACCCTGGTGATACCATGCTTATGTAGACCGAAACACATTTTAACATCCCAATGTTATCACGGAGTTCGATTATTATTTTAATCCAGGTAAACGCAAATGTTCCACATAACATACCATTGGTGTAATACCTCAATAAAATTAAAATAAATTAACTGAGACACCAGAATACTTGCAGATACATTTATTCAAGTAAACAGAGTTGTACTCAAAGAAGGTTCACACCAGAAAATGTGACAAAAATATACGACCACAGGTAAACCAGAGTTTATAAGGAGATTGTGAACACATTATGATGTTTAACACTTTTATAGACATGTTGTTTTTTTACAAGGCAATATGAAAACACACACACAGGCACACCCACACGTGCGCACACACAAATAAAAATGCCTGACAATAATATTGAGATGTATTTCCATAGTGTCTAAAAACAATTATCCATACTTATCTATACTCAAGTCTACATATAAATTCTAAAAATACTTATTCCATCACTTCTGTGCCCATTAACACTGTCTATCCACCATGTATCATTCATCTTTGAAGCATGCAGCCTGTTAGTTTGCACATGGACATTTTTTAAAGGCATAAGGAAAGATTTAATTGTTTTAATTGTTGAGAAAATACTTTTTTGATATATAATCCAGTTTTGTTTTTATAATTCAAGTGAAGAAATAAATAGTTCAAATGACTAGTCAATACGCTGTATAAGCAAGGCCCCAAACAATTATGTTTTAATTAAAAATAAAACCAGATCTGTTATTAGAATATGTGTGAACATTTCATAAAAACTGGCAGAGTAAAGCAGAGGGCATCGTTATTATGTAAAATAATACACAGTGTTTTTCAGACCTGAATCACCCTGCTTTTAAACACCTGATCATTGCAAAAATAGTTTATGGCACTTTTTCTTTGTGAGGCACCAGCAAGTAAACAATTTCGGTCAGACAAGTAAAAGCAGACTCCACAAATGTTTGACTTACACGCTGCCTGAGAAGACTCTGAATTTACCGATTTATATCATGTTCTCTTGCATTTAGATATTTTATGATATAATGTTTGTGACCTTCAAAGTGTATGCAACACTGTATGGCGTTGTATAGATTTGACATCTGAATAAATGTGCAGTGGAAGATTTTTAAATGTTTTTATAATGTGAACTTTACTTCTTCTTTACACTTGTTGGTGGGCTAAAGGCACTGGTGATCCTGTGATATATTACAAGGTCGGCAGGAACCTAAGAGTCAAATATCAAGCAAATATCTACACACATACCTTTCGCTGGTGGCTAACACATCACTATTGTAACAGAAACATTTAAATATTCCACATGCCAATCGTTTTCCTTATACAGCTGTCATCACTGAAAAAAGTGAATATTAAATTACACTTTCTTATTCTTTTTTTAGACAGTGTAGAGTTGTTATGCTACATGACATTGATAGTAAGTGTATTTTTAAGGGTACTAATCCTAACCCTGTTTCCAGGCTTAAATGCTTTTTCAGTCAATAAACTGTTTGTGGATGCAATTAATAGAGAAATGGACACAAACCTAATCAAATTATTGGCTAGCATAACGTCATAATACAGTAAAGAATATAAAAATACTAGATGGACAATGGCACTTCCACCTGCCTGTCTGTGTTAGAGAAAATGTTGTTAGGTCTCTGTTTTCACAATAATTTTGCTCGAACATTTAACTGACAAACAATAAGTAACAAACAAATATTGTACACAAATCCAGTCATGCATGCATGCATACAGCACATGCATACAGCACATACTGCTCAACACTTGTGTGGTGAATGCCTCTTCAGTCTCTGGGCGTGTAGCCGGGAGGTTTAATGGATGAAGGGCATTCGCTCCTTGCTGTCGTTGTCTTCCTCTGGCTCTTCTTCCTCCTCGCCAGCCTCACTGGTCTCTGTGCTGTCACTGGCCATCTAGTGGTAAGATATTATTCAGCTGTCATTACTAAGCTACCATTCAGAGAAACAGAGGTGAAAACAAATGAAAGATGACATCAAACAGTACGGTCAATAAGTAAATACTCTTTCTAGTAACGGGCAACTGTTTACAGGGTCTATGCTCTTCATATGATCAGGTTGATACATATTAGTGTTTCTAGGTTTAATATTGAGACCACCATAGAAACAGCTAGAGGACACACACTGCCTCGTTCTGACACTGACCAGTCCTAAAAGATGTGCTGTAGGCTTTAGAGATGTCAGATGTGACTATTTAAAAACAACCAACATATTGGTATGTTTACATTGGCTGAAAATGTGTTTTGAATAAATCTGTATTTAAAATTAGCACTACATTGGCCAAATGAATAAGATCAGGCAGAAATGCAAGGAATCTTTCTTCCAATAACTTGTTGGAAGTCATCCAACTAGTTTTATAATATGCATACTTTTACCAATTTACCAATCTGCCAATTTATTTCCATCTTCTTCCTCTCTGCTCTTCCTCCTGTCAGTCATGTGTATGTGAATATAAATGTGATATAATAATTACATTTTATATTTCTAACTGTCTCATGAGTCTTTGCTTGTATCTTGTAATGATACTAAACATAGAAGCTAAAAGCTGTTACTTTAAATAATACTTTAATAATGTTAAATGTTCAATTTAGACATATTTTATGTTTTTACTATTATACTATTGCATACATACATTGCATTTGATCAGCCACTCTTTGGGTGTGTGTCATTCTGTGCTCTTCCTGTAGGGGATGTTAGAGCAACTGGTTTCAGCTGGCAGACTTCTCTTTGGTGGACAATTTCCATTAATGTACACAATACACTGATTACTTTACTATTAATTTGAATAAATAACATATTTTGTTTAAATTTCATCATGTTGATTAATTTTCTATTTATGTAGGAATGTATTTCTAATATAAGATCAATCCACATTTATGAATGGAGCCCCTTCTATTGATGTTTGTTTCCTGATAACTTTAGAAAAGAAAAAACACAATCAAATGTTACCAGAGGGGTGGGAGACTTCTCGACATCCAGAATGAGTTTTCCTACGTTGCCTCTGTCATGAATTCTCTGCATGGCCTCTTTTACCTGAGAATAAAACACAACATGTAACTAACATTAATAAGCAGAAGTGTTGAACAAACAAATATATTAAAATAACCTAAAGTGTAACATTACACATTAGGGCAGAAACTTTGTTTTCTTTCAGGAATAAATCATAAAAATATGGACATTACAGATTGACTCATCAAGTATTTCATACTAACAAACGAGAGAGAAGCGCTTAAAACCTAGGAAAGTGCAATTAGACTTCCTGGTCTGTAGCCTATAGAAACATCCGTCAACAATATGTTTTATGAGCTGACATTTTGCTTTGTTATCTGACCAGTTAACGTCAGCTTTAGAACATTTGAGCTATTGTCCATAATTGTCAATCACCTGCAGTTTTATGCTGAGTGGTGGAAGAATAGGAGAAGAGGGACAAGTGCTTTATGCTTTTCTCCATCTCAACAATACATCGCAGATGTAATGCTTCAAAATGTGGTAGAGTATTAAAGCATATCACAACAAGTGTTTATCAAAATGGTTATTCTGGGATTATAAAGAACCAACAATGACTTCAACTTCAACTGGAACAGGTTTTGTCCTTAGGTGTTTCCAATGTTTCACAACATTACAATCCATCTGTGGCCATTGCCCAAAAAACACTACTAACATTTATGAAAAGCTAGCAGACTTGACCTTTTTTTATCCACATCTGACAAAAACACCTCGCAGGTCAGAACTTGTTAAATCAAACATCATCACAAGCTTGTCCGACTCAATTAGGTAGAAAAATAATTCACACACCAAACCATTTTCTCATTACAATCCACACAAAGAAACAACTGAATGTGCCTTTGTGTCTGGAAGCCATTGTTTCACAAGCATTCATTTACTAAAAAAGAAAGCAGAAATCAAGCCAAGAGCAGAAATAGGTCAGAAACGTGTCCCACATTGGCTGTCAGTTAGCAAGAGAGGGTGAGAACCACTTCATTGTAGGTTTTAATATGGCATTCCTGCATGGTACAAAAAAGTGAGATACTGTATGAAGGCTCACTTTTATCTTTTTTAATATTTTAAGGTTTTGACCTTGGGAAACCCAGGTGAAAAAAACGGATTCAGTCTTTCTCAGCTCAGTTTTTCTGTTTTGGTCTTGAACATTCTCTAACTTTTTGTTTGAGGATAAACAAGTTACCATGTAAATTAACACCCTCCGAATTCTAGGTCTAGGCAAATGAATAAATGAGGCAGGAGGTGACCCTGATACTGCAGCCCACGCCATCCTCCCCTTAATGACATTCTTCATGGGCCATGGTTCCAGTGAATGGCTGACAAATCTCCCAAGGTTTTATGACAATCAGTACTGAGGGAGTTTCCCATGAGAAATAAAAAAATTGTAATTTCATCAACATGTTCTCAACTGTCGATACGACGTTCAAAATGACTTATTATTAACCTATTTTGATGGATAACCTGCACCTCATTACTTTCATCTGAACACATGGAGAATTTCATGTGTGGAACAAATTCCAAACGTTTTATTTGTAAATATCGGGGATGTGTAAGATGGCAAATGATTTTAATATGAAACTTAATGCTGGGGGGAGTGGAGACAAGTAGCTGAAGACAAGTATTGCATCCTGCCAAGGCCTTTTTTGAGTTTTCCTGCTATGACAGTCAAAAGGTCTGCCTGTAATATTTCTATATACACTGTTGCCAATAAAGTTGGAATCATTTGTTTCAGACACATTCCTCTTTTTATGCCTATTTCATTTTGTGATATGTTTGGAATAGATTTATCAATAACATTTTTAGAAGATATAGACTTTATCTATCAAGAACAAATTACATTCGTCATTTCATGAGAAGAGGTAAAACATATATTATTCCAACTTTATGGGCAACAGTTAATGTACTGTGACTTCTGACAATGTTTTAGTGTTGTGTGCAACAGTGCCTGCCAAATGTTAAGGCTCTGCCCCCACAGAAGTGTGTTCTCTTATTCCAGCTGATTGAATGTTTGTTTAGCTTATAAAAGATATGTTGAGGGATAACAGAATTACATTATTTCCATTTTGTAAAAGCGCTGCCCCTCCCCCTCATGTCAAGCTAATAAATCCAGCGCTATATTTTTTACAGCCACACTAGGGCTGACACTTTTTATTTAAAACGTTCCTTTTCATTTGATCGTCTAACCACACAGCTCCACCTTTTGTGTCCTGAGCCAAGCTAAACACCTAAACACTGCATTACCAGTTGTTCAACACTATTGAAATTGGGATGTGTATAAGTGCAATGTACAATGGTAAAATCACAGTTAATGGGAGATTTTAGATTTTAAGAATTTGTAGAAATTAAAAGTGAATTGATTGACGTATGTCCTGGTGTGCTTTGTGTGGGTGTGAAATAATTGTTGAACAGCAGGAATATACAACCTACCCACCATCTGTGGAACAATGTCCAAGAACAGTTGACAATGTCCCACAGAAAAACAGCAGTGACAAACAACAGATTATAAGCTGTCAAATAATTGTATAAAATGTTCTCTTTAATTTTAAAGCTGGTATCTTTTCTCATGTAACCACTCTGATCTAATTATTTTTAATTTGGTCATTATTAACATTGTTTCCTGTCTCACGCCCTCCAATCACTACAGTGTCTTACCTCCTCCAGCGCCCATAGGGAGTCCACTACCGGCTTGATCTTCTTTTGGTCAAAGAGACACAAGAGTTTGTCCATCACTGATTTCACGAGATTACATTTCCCATGTTTGAAGAGGAGGTTGAGGAGCGAGAATCCTGCTATGACTTTATTCTCTTCGTATAGTTTAATAGGGTTCACCTTCTCCACCTGCCACCACTGGAGAAAAAAGCAACAGCACAAAGAGACATGGTTATTCCGAGGGACTCATTTGTGTGTGTTTGATTTGCCATGAAAAGATTAAATGTGCATTGTGTAGTACTGTTTCCTGCAAATGTTGATGACAGAATGCATCTCTGACTCACAGATTTTGCAAAGCTGAAGAAACTCTTTGTTTCCCCAGTTACCATGTTTGATGCGCCTGAAAAAACAGAAATAAAAGGATTGTTGAATGCTGTGCAAAAGTCTAGGCAGAAGTGACTGGTCAGTAACAGGCAGCCACAAAGCATAAAGGGGGAGGTAGGGGAGGAACAGTTGGCACCTATAGACCATTAGATCTGTGCAAGCATGCCTTCGCTCATATTCAGTATCACTGAATAAACTAAAGAATTAATCTCCCTCTCATACTTTTACTTGATTCATGAAGCTTAACACAAACTAAAGTAATTAACAGAGACCTGGTAAGTATGGAAGCTGTGAAAGGCACTACATTTCATTTGCAGGATACAGATGAGATTATTATTTTCACGTGAGCTTCATTATCTCTCTCCTAATCCACAAACACATTTAATTTATGCAATACTTGAATTGTTCAACATTATGAAAATGATCCTAATTGTTTCTTTCTAAGAATCAGATAAGAAGAGTAATATCACCCTCTTGTCTGTCTTTTAAAAATACAAGCTACAGCCAGGAGATGGTTAGATTAGCCTAGTGTAAAGACTGGAAACAGAGGGGAACTACTGGCCTGGCTCTGTATAACTTTAACAAACAACCGTTTACACCAGGGTTGTGTGCCTGGCTACTATCTGGCCTGGATCAGAGACTTCCTAATGTCTTGTTGTCACCAGGGTAGCTGTGTCAAATTTCTTTTTTAATAAACAGATGTGAGAGAATCAATCTCCCTGATATATTGCTTGACAAGAAATTGTATGTGTTTCCAAAAATGTCAAACTAATTTAGCAATTGTACTACATTTTAGACTGCACACAAACACATTGCAAATTTAGATATTAACACTTTGAAAGTACTGAATGGAAATCATAGTATTGTTATAAGTATGGCCCCCACCATATAGTATGTAGGTTCCCAAAGGCCTCAGCAGAGTCAGGCCTTTCGCTGTGTTCTCCCCACAGAGGCAGTCCAACACGATGTCCACCCCCTCTGGAGAAATCCTAAAAGATTAACAACAAAGTAAAGAGGAAGTCAACTGGGAAAAACATGATCTAAATTAAATAAAATGTTGTTTTTACATTTAGTTTTATACATCACATGTAAAAAAGTATGCAAAAAACAGTTTTCCAGATCTAGAGAAATCAATATTGATGATTACAGTTTAATTAATTAATAAACCAAATCAAAACATTTCCTGGTTAAAGATTTTCACATGAAAACATGTCAAGCTTTTCTTAACATCATATAATAAAAAACTGAATTATCTTCAGGCTTTGGATTGATGACTATACAAAACAAGACATCACCATAGGAAATATTGATTGGTATATTATACATGATTCTCTGTCATTCTATGTTTAAAAAAAACCCGAATATTCATCAGTAATGAAAATGAATTGCAGTCTTAACATTTTTGCAGGTTAATTTACGGTTGATCAACCAACCATTTCGTCGTTTAGTTGAGATAAGTTAAAATCAGAGGTCATCTTTACAGTATACAGTTACACTGATGGGAATGTTTGCGCTAATTGTTCATTTATTCAGCCTGTGAGTCATACCCAGGAGCAGCTTTAGGGTTAATTCAATAATGGAGTCATAACTCATGAGTATTGATTCTCTGGAGTTTTACTCTGAGAATAGGTGGCAGTTTACTCTACTGTTGACTCTGCCTCCACTGTATTTATTTATAAGGAACTTAATGCTATGCAATGCCCACATCACTCCTCATCAGTAACTTGCAATCATCATGTTACAAAAAGGTTTACTGATTGCACACAAAAGCAATCAGACAAACAAGCTTGCCATAATGAAACTCATTAAAGGCACAGATAATAAAGAATGAAATACATGTTAACTCCTTTCTGCCTTGTGGCCTTGGACACCTGCTTGGCTAAACTGCTTGGAGGTCTTGTGATCGCCATGGTTTTTGCCTTTTGTAAAAAGACTAATTTAATCATACTTTGCTCTTGATCCTGAAAAGAATGTGTGGGCCAGGGAGATGAAAGGCATATTAATCCACTACCACTGTTGATGTGTAGGCAGAACACATGAAATAATTAGTGCTCTTGAAAATGTATTTTAATCCCTAAGCAAAATAAAAAAGGTGTGTTTCATGTATGGTGCATGTATCCTGATTATAGAAAAGAGAATAGCCACACATTTCCTGCAAATTACCAGGATGCAGCATGGGTTTGGAGTTTTCTGAATAACCAAAGCTTCAAAAGAAGATTGAAAAAAAATAGCAGTAAGCCAGCATATTACTATAAAATCAAATGTCAGGCAGAGTTTGCTACAAGGTGATTTCTTTGTAGTGCTGGCTGACAGCGTGCTGTGTTGTGAATGGAATGTGTAGGGCATCAACGCTTGTTCCTAATTGGCTCTGTTGTTCCACATTGCCAGCGCAGACCTACGCCCAACACAATGCTGCTGCTCGATCAGATGAGCCGTGAGTTGCCATGGGGACCACGGCCACATAAGACCAAATAAGGCAACAGGTAACATCTGCCTCCTCGCGCAGCCCTCTGCTCAGTGAGGTCCACGTAACCATGCTACAGCTAACATGCCTGAACAAATTAATTTCTAACATAAACAAGTTAATATTGCAAAGCATACACGCTGAGGAACTAAAACAGACCTCTTGAGCCTCAAATCATAATCATACTTTGGACGAACTTTGAATGCTTACTTTTGTACTTCTTGCATATAATCAACATTTCTGTCAAAGAGGTGAGTCACCGAGTCTCTGATGGCTGCGTGTTTGGAACATGAGGCGATCCCAAACACAGTGACATTAGGCACTGTGGAGCACAGCTGAGCCACAGCTTGACCCTGAAAATAACAAACAGTGGAAACAGTTTATCAATGCCTGAGAACACCAGCGTTTAACTCTCAATATACCAGGGTCACAAAAAGGAAACAGTAGGTGCACCATTAACAATCATCATAGAAAATCAGATAAAGTGGTGTCGAATACAAACAATCAATGACTACTGCTTTAAAAGTTAGATATAACAAGATGTTGTTTAAATGATCAAACATATATTTCAGTCATTACCGTCATCACAGCAGCAGATATCAAGAACAGCAGTACACAAACTACTTTTATAAAGCTGTCAGTTAGAATGAGAGTTGGCTAACCTCTTTGTATGGCTGCTGGGCAATAGTAATAAAAGAAAATGCACTTACTACACCACCTCCTGCTGAGTGGACCAACACTGACATCCCCTCTCGCAGATTAGCAACCTCAAAGAGCATCATATAGGCCGCCACAAAGTTCAGGGAGAATGCAGCAGCCTCAGCAAAACTCATTTCCTCTGGCATCTTGTAGACAAAATCCGCTGGCGTGCAGACCACTTCTGCCCAGGCATTGTAATTGACAAATGCCATAACTCTGTCGCCTATCTGAAAGAAACATGTTAGAGTAGCTGGATAACAAGCTGACACTAATGTGAAACAAGCATGAGGGCAATAGGCAGGCCATTGTTAGTAGATTGTGGATTTGTTTAATTAGTATCACATTATCATCTCATTACAACACGAGTTCCTAGTTTTGTTGAGGCAGATTTGGTTGCTCAGAATAGTTATTTCACACATCAGAGCGTTACATAGTTAGAATCCTTAATGTCACTAACCTCAAATCCAGCTGTGTTTTCCCCTACTGACTCTACTATCCCAGAGCATTCAAACCCAGGGACAATAGGGAGTTTTGGAGGATTATCAATAGACCCCTGACGTACCATCAGATCCAGGAAATTCAGGCCACTGCAACAAATAATAAAAAGTACCTTACAGTTTGATGAGATTAAATCCCTCTAATGCTAAATGAAAACCATGCCCACTGACAGGTAATACATCATACCGTAAATACTACAAATACTTAGTCTGATATATGACATTTTAAGGGATGCACAGTATTTTAAGTCATGATTAATATCAACAATAAATCACTGGCTATTTCCCTATGATAACAGCAGTCTCTATTAAACAACAATGTCCTAACTTTGTATTTTCCAACACTTAGCATTAGTCCAGCTGTAATATTCTGCAGTAATTAGCTAATTCATACTTTGTGAAGGCAGCTATTATGCTATCAAACCCTAAACAATGATTTAAAATCTGACTGACAAGCTTGCTTGATGTTTGCTTGCTATGGTGCTCCAGGCAGCCACCCACTAGAAAAGACCTGTGGCTTCGAACTGCGAAATGTTCCAATAACATTCAGTCTTCACGCTTATCAGGAATTCTGTGAAGCGTGGTTATTAAAATCCCTAATACAGTACAATATACAATAAATCAGTGGTTCAGATTTACCATGCTTTGACGCGTATCTTCACTTCACCATCCTGAGGCTCGGGCATTGCCTTCTTGGTTACCCTGAGTTTGTTAAGACCTCCGAAACCTGCCAGCACCACAGCTCGCATTTCTTTAGCATCGCCGGATGATTCCACATGTTCTGGTTCTTTCCCCGGATTTGTGTCTATCATGAACTGGGTCTCCTCCGTCATATCTGCTCCTTCTTTAGCCATGTTGGAGACCCGCTGCTCTGCCTCTCCGCTCCGCCTCGGGCTTCAGAGCGATGTGGTGCGCAGACAGCCGCTGTGCGGAGGGTTATCCACGGCGGTGCCTCAAATATCACTGTCTACACTTTAATTCAATTATGCGGACATTTGGATTTGGAATAATAGTTTTTTTCCTTTCGCTCAAGTCAGAAAGATAATGATTAAATCAATTTAAATTTGCCATTTGAAGAATCTGGAATACACAACATCCTTGTGTAGTGTTTGCTTGCAGTAGACTTAAGAATGAATAGCACCATCTGCTGGTAATGGGTGTACAAAACTTCATCTGGTAAGAAATGCAACTCATAAATACATGATATAATCAAAATCCTGTGCACATTTAGGATAAACATTTTATCCTTATCATGGTTTTTCAAAGATGCTCTCAATACTGTAAGGTAGATAGTTATTAATGCATTACAAAACAATTTGATTAAATATAAAATATGAGATACTGCATCGGGAGCAGCTGTGCAATTACACTTTGTTTGAGGTCACCAACATTACATGTTTTACTTCATACTGCTTAAAGAGATGTGTCTGATTATCGTATGCAGCGTCTATAACTTTTGCAAATATAATAAAAGGAATAAGTGTTTGGAGGAAAGTTGCTGCTTTTATTATGTTGTGTGGATACAATGTCTATGTACAATTCAATGATCAGTTTTTTTCAATTTAACATTGGAAAATACTGCTAAAAAAAGGGTCTGTAGTAACTCTTTAATGCTTGGAACGGTTATATTTATACTTGTTTCCATACTTATCATCACACCATCAATATTATCAACCCTGAGAAGACAGAGAAACCTACATTACTTCACATCTTAAAAGTATTTTATCAAGTTGTTTTGTGCGTTCTGTAGCATTCACCAGTTTTATATATTATCTTGAGAGTAGAAGATAGCAATCTTAAACAAGGATGATTTAGTGTAATCTGATATATTACAAATGTCACATGCTTAATGTGTGACAGCCCCTCTGCTTCCCTGCACACATTAAACATTATTATAGATTTCACTTACTACACAATATCCTCTAAAATAGTACATTTGGTATACAGTTGATGAACAAAGGAAGAGGTCAACAGTGGAAAGGACTTTCTCTAATGTTTTGGAACATCAGTGAATATTCGCAGTCCATGCATTCCTTGAATCTCTTCCTTAAGGGCCTGTGGAGAACAAAACACAACAGCTGATGAGTAACATGCAACAAGCACAAGTATAAACTTCAATCAACTTCAATGTCCACCAAGGTCAAAGGATAATCTTGAGAATTTCAAGGGCATTGTTGACAGACAGATATGGACAAGAGTCAAAGATACAACAAATATCGGACTGCATAATATGTCACAAGGGCTGATGTTATTTTGTATTATTTACCTCATTGACTAATTTGTGTTGTTGGATGGTCCTTTTTCCTTTGAACTCACTCGACTCTATATGGATCTCATACATGGCCCCACAACCACCTAAAAACAGCACAAGATCACACAAACAACCCTTTCATTTCAGTATGTTGTACACATGTCTAAAAAAAAAGTACTTGAACATCTGGAATAGATGCAGGCAGAAACGTGCAGCCAGTCACGTGACAGGTGTGTGTTTACCTGATATATCTACAACTTTAAGCGATGCGGCCGATGGAAACTTCTCCTTCAGTATGTTAACGATCCGGGTCTCTCCGTCTGTCTGTGTGGAAACACATCTCTGCTGCACATGGCCGGACACAACAACAACCTGTGGAGGCAGGAGGACAAACGAGGGTGAGCGACGAGCTACGTCAACTTTAGCTTTCTGCTGTTAGCATAACAGGTCTAAACTACAGAGAAGTGTATTTACTTGGTTAGTGTGAAACACCCGCAGAGCAGAGAGCATAGTTCCGCTCAAGCTCCGTTTAAGAGCCAACATTTTAAAGATATAGCGTCAGTATAATCCCGGGACGTTTATTAAATCTACTGTATTTATTCAAAAAGTCATGTCCTCGGAGAGAGCATCGTCTCACAATTATGACGTCAGACATCCGGGTGAGTCGGTTTGAGATTAAAACCTAAAACCTTAAAAAAAAATGCTCAGAGATGTTTGATTATACACGATAATATAATTTGGACTCACTAACATTTAATTACAATTCAAACCCTCTAAGATATGTATATTATATTGTTTATTCTTTTTTTTTAAATAATTTTGGAAAATGTTAATCCTTTCCAATCACATAATAGTTTTCTGTTTCGTATACGGTGTATCATTATGAGCCATTAAAAGGCTTAACATTGAAATGTTATTCTTGACATGTGATATACAAATATTCAGGTTAACTCTAAATATTCATAAATAATCCACTTACAATTGTGTATGGAATCTAATGATCTATGAAATAAGCACATTGGAGACAAAGGTGCTAGTAGGCTATTCAAACTTAATCTTATAATAATTTAAACGTATATTTTTCTCTGCAAAGAATTTCAGTTATCATATGAGATAAAACACAGTTGGAATTTTGTTCCGGTAAGCGAATAACGGTACAACAACAGGCCCCTGAAGCTGAAACTGTTGTCAAATCAGCATTAATATTTTTTCATTTACACCTTTGCTTTTCCTGCCATTTCTTTTCAAAATGTCTTCTGGGAAAACATCTGTCCCAGAACATTGCAGCTGGCATACCTAAATCAAATGCAGTTGTTGTTATGTCATTAATAATAGCTGTTTCTGTCTGCCATGTAAATGCTCTACTAATCTTCCATAGAGGAGAATTCTTCATCACGTTTATATTTTAACACATTAGTGTATATTTGTTTAAGTTAATAATTTAACACCATGTAAAGTTAAGGCTAATACCTTACCATTTTACACATCACTACTAATACATCAGGCCATTGAAACCCCTGGCTTCCTTTAAACTTCAGGTTGACATTTTCATGTTCAGGTCTGAAAGAGAAGCTTATCTCCCTCTGCAGGTTGTGGAGCCCTACATTAATGGAGGCAGAGAAGTAATCAGTGACTGTTGACAGGGAGCGTTGGCCCCCTTTCAATACAGGCCTGAGCCTTGTTTACACACAAGAATAATGGGAGCACAAAGCTGGACAGCCAGTAAGGAAGCAATTGTAATGTCACAAATTATCCCAAAGTGCCAACTGGTGACGTCAGTACCCTTTAAAGACATGATGTTGCCAACGAGTCTGAGCAGTGCAAGGGTGCAGAGATGGAAAGCACCAGTTTCCCCACTCTGACTTTAATGCTACTCTTCATCACTTGCTATGCTCAGGAGGATACAGAAGCTCTATCCTGCCCAGAATCCCAGGAGGACTTTGACGGCTCATGCTATGAGTTTGTGGGTCTGCAGCGATCCTTCCTCAGCTCCCAGGGGTGGTGTGAGCGAGGCGGAGGACACCTAGCCTTCATCCTAAATGATGAAACCCAGCAGTTCCTCCAGAAGCACCTGGACCCGGAGAAGGAATGGTGGCTCGGGCTGGCACCTGCCGCTCCAAACCTCACGATCGACTCTGCTGCCACCGATGGTGAGAGAGCATTAGGGAGTGAGGGGGGACAAACGTTGGCACTGCATGGCTTCTAATGGCATTGTATACCTTTTTTATATACTGTAGATTTTTTGTTTAAATCTTCAGTTTCTCTAACTACTATTTTTAAATACTTGTTACTGAACAACACATTTGAATCTCTGTGATCAATGATTGTATTGAATAATGTCAGTAATGAAGATTACCACCTCTGCTGCTATCTCATTGGTCAGCTGGCATGTCCATTGTATAGATCTGTAATGTGTTTGTTTACTGACATTTGTTAGAAGACACATTCTGATATCTCCCTCCTGCAGCTGGTGTACTAAGATATGTTCGTCATTCATTTAAACGTTTCAAAAGGCTGGCTGTCAAGTGGTCTGATTTACAAATGTGTCTTTATATCCTTTCCCCCTCATTCATCCTGTCAACGGCTCAATCTATTGCTTGGTTGTTTTACGATCCCTAAATTGCATCGTAACAATTAACTTAACAATAGGTACAGATAAGGGAAACAACCTTGTGTTAAACATCTGTGGGGATAACATATTTTTACAGCATTTGAGCCTAAATAGCTAAATTAAAAATAGTTTCTTTATCAAATCAAATGGTATTTTCTTTCTTTCCCAGGTTCCCTTGCCTGGCTGGATGGCTCAGATGTCAGCTATAGTAACTGGGTGAACATGCCAGATGCAGATGCAGCCTGTGGACATATCCTAAAACAGTCAGGTTTTCAGTGGGAAGCGGCAGGAAACTGCAGCCAGGAACTCAACTTCATTTGCCAGTTTGGTATACAATCATAAGTAAATCAACAAATAGTATTATACTCATGTTTTGTTTGCTCCCTTAACATTTCTTCTTTCTTTCTTTAGATTCTGGGAGATATATTGCCTGTGATGGGAAGAATGCAACAGTACAATGTGGTTCGGGTCAACTTGTAGAGATAGATGACAGCTTCTATGGTCGAAAAACAATTCACTACTGCCGATTAAACCCTGCTGCCTCACCCACATCCTCCCAGGAAGAGTGCAGCTGGATAGATGTGACGGATTCTGTAAAAGGTGTTATAAATGACATAAATATTTATTTTCCTTAACATGAATTATAAATGTGGGAACTGGCCTTTTTTTCTGCTCTGCAAACACATCAGCTGTGATGGAAGGCAGCTATGGGAACATGTTGGGCTTTGTTAAAGCGGCTCTAAGAAAATCCCCATAAATTATGTTTTTGTTTCATGTTTTGTGTCAAACACAAAAGCGATCATTGCCGTGTGAGTGCAGACTAAAGGATTACACTCAAGAGAAAAGATATTAGGCAAATCCCCCCCTAGGCGCTGAAAACATGGACTTTAAAGTATATTTACATTCAGATTCATATCAGTCTAGGATTACTTATGCTGGAGGACTTGGTGTCTTTCACTGTTGTAAATCCATCACTACACATGTATGTTTATTTACATTTAATAGGATGAACAT